TGGGTGCAAAATACAGTAATACTCGTGTATTATGTTATTCTTTATTCTGAGATTATTCTAAAAAATTTTACAAGAATGCCCGTGAATTATTTTGAACTTACTGTGGTATTATGCTAGAAAATTTTCAGAATAATACACACTGTAAAGAACAGATAAGCCACGAGTATTATTCTAATGTTATTGGAACATTATGCTAATAATAAACCTAGAATTATGGAATCAGCAAAAGAAGGATAATGATAGGTTAATGAGAGTCTGTTTTATCTGTGAATTATCCTATACCGTGGCTATAGAATAATACCAGCTTTCTGCAAAGCATAATGTACGTGCATTATGCTATAAGATAATGCAGAGATGGGATGCTGGTGGAGTGTGTGTGGTTGTTGTGACACTTATTGTAATGATAGAATAATGTAGGTGTCAAAAGTTGACATTATCCTATGTGGGGTAGCCCAAGGATGTCTATCAAGTCCTGTACTTTGTAGCTAGGGTCTATGCCCAGCCAACATGGAGGTTCAGAGTATAGAATAATGCACCAATAGAATAATGTGTCAATAGAATAATGTACTGATAGAATAATACATGAATAAAGCAGTGGTGTATTATGCTGAAATCATAATGGTGCTATGATTGGGAACTCAGCGGTGGTCTTGTTGGGCACATGAGTGATGCATGGGCCACTAGCTTGGGTTTTGCACAGTGTTTTAGGCATCCAAAGTGGGTACCTGCTCAGTGTGGTCTCCATTTTAACAGAGCGGCAACAATATTTCTGTGAGTATCTGAATATCATGTGACTCAGAACTGCTGGGCTTACAGACAGGTTCATACTATAGTTGCACACATTACAGCAAAGGCCTTCAGCCTCATATGACTGCATACGCCAATCATATGATCTACCTGGCCGCCATACTACTCAGAAACCCCTGTATGGCATCATATAACTCAATGCAGCTTATCCAAGTTAAATCCACTTCATATGGCACAGGCAACATTATGCAGATGTCATATGAACCTCATCTGACTTTGCGCCACACATATAACTTAGGAACCACAGGTGCTCCAGTGTAATGATCTCAACAGATATATTCTCGGATGACTGGCATCCAATCTGGCCAGTTTCAACTCTCCTAAAATTGCAACCCGCAGTCCTGCGTCCAGCGCTTATCTGTATCCACAGATACTATCTACCGGATATCCGCCAGATACAGATATCTACATAGTAAATTCATCATGGTAAGTTGCATAAACAGATGACCAGCATCCTTTGAGATCCTTACTCTAGTGTGGAAGTTGCACAAGTTATATGAGCGCATGTGAGCCTCACTGTGGTATCTATTTTGCCAGAGCAGTCTGTGGTGCATGCACATGTGAGTATATCATATGATTCATATATACTGGGCTTACAGGCTCACGATTGTGCACATTGCAGCAAAGGTCTTTAGCCTCATATAACTGCATGTACTGGTCATATGATGTACCTGCATACTACTCAGGGACCTCTGGAGGGCATCACATGACTGAATGCAGCTCATCCAAGTTGAATCTACTTCATATGGCACAGGCAAGGTTGTGCAGATGTCATATGAACCTCATCTGACCTCATGCAACACATGTGACTTAGAAGCCTACATGATAAGCCTACACTTTTTCTAGTGCAGGATACCAGACTTTTCTCCATTGAGAGACTGTCATATAACTCTCATCTGACTGTCTCCTATAGCATGCCTGGTTATTACTTGTGCATCTCTGGAGGTCATTGTGTAACTGATGACATTCATATGACATCCACGCAACCTCATTCAAGCCACATATTGCAGACATGATTTATATGGTCACTCAAGGATATCAATTGGTAGGTTGAGCACAGACAATATGGAAAGGGTGCACAGCGCGACCAGAATGAGTGCACCATTATCCTTGTATTTTGCATATTTCTTTTGGACTGCACATGTTATTTATGAGCCATATGGTACAGTATGGCTCTAGTTTGATGCCCAATTTGATTTGCAACTGTTCATGCAACCCAAAGGACATCAACCCTTTTTATCCGCGTTGCCCCTGGTTAGGTTCAACCTGGAAAAACACCTTCAAATCTCAGGTGTGTGCATTGTGCTGTAGAGTGTTTGAATGAGCTGCATTCAGTCATGTGATGCCCTCCAGAGGTCTCTAAGTAGTATGACTATGTAGGTACATTATATGACTAGTGCATGCAGATATATGCACCAGCAAAACTATGAGGATCCGGTCAAGGCCTGACGGCGATGACCCGGGACCATCATTCTGAACACTGGGTATCAGTCGCGTATCAGCCTCGTGTCAGTATGATATTATATGAACAGGATATGAGATTGTACCATCGGGAGGATTTTGCGTGGTCAGTGTATAGTCAGATGATCCCAGAATGGTACAGTCCTGGCCAGTCAATGGTCAGGTGTGGGTCAGGTTGCATCAAATAGGGCGTACCTGGTCTGGCATTGACCAGATAACGGTCAGAGCTCATTGGATGTTAGAGATCTAATCAGACGATGGCGGAATGCCCAGAGGGCGTCTGATGTGGGTCAGAATAATCTCAGACTGTCAAGAGAATGTTCAGTCAGTGGTCAGTGTTTGGTTATCGGGTGATCAGTAAGGGTAAAAATGAGCAGAGAATACCATAGTATGATAAAATATAGGACAACTGCTCACGCTGGTATCAGAATAAGAAATGGCTATGACAGAATGATACTTACAGCCCGTACTCATCGCTGCTGTCCTCTCTGTGCACAAGGTATTTCAAAAAATTGTATTATGGTTGTAGATATTTGTTATGCTTTATATACGATTGATGAAGACTTGCCATGTTGAAGGACTCTCAAGCATAATGGTGGTGGTTGAGAGTCAAGAGAGGCAGATCGAACACCTGTGTCAACTGGCACGGGATGTATCCAGCATCTGGCACAGAAATCTGCGCAAGCGCTTCCAGGGCGCTTGCACAGATTTCTTTGTTTGGCTCTCCAAATAAGGGACTCACACATGGGTTTGGGCGCCTCCTGCCCGGCTTGACTCTCTACCACCACTATCGTGGTTGAGTCCTCCCCCAAGTAAGTTCCTTCCCCTCTATTGTTTCTAACAATTTCAATGAAAACTTTCAACATTGTATACAGCTATCCAGATCCCCTTCAACCAACTGGTGGCCTCAGGTGCGATTGTGAAGCAGGCGGACAGCAACTACAGCGCAGCAGGTGGATGAGATAACTGCAGTGATACACTGGTGAGTTGTTTCGCGATAATGTTCTTGACTGTGGCTCATGTTGCGTGATATTTAGTATCTGTTCAAGGTCACACAAGAGACAGTGTTGATTGGCTCAAAGGCTAAAGATGACGGGATGGCCAGGTGCTTCACTTTGTTGCTCTCAGTCTACTGTTTATTGCTCCCATGCAACGTCGATGACATACCCATCGTCACTGGCATCATAGTTTTGACCAATGCACGGACCATCTCCGAAGTATATAAACCAGTCTTCTAAGGCTATCACTTGTGCCTGCCTTCCACTCACCCTCCTGATGGTACCAGGTGTAGCTTGCGCTCATCTTCAAACAGGATTGTTCCGCCGTTGACAGGCGAGTATGCTGTCCTCAACCAGCTATGTTTGTTAGGATTTGGGATTCGGGAAAAGGCCTGAGGTATGTTTGCGCCTTTTCTATATTTACCCTACACATAAGAACTGACTATATGCATTAGGATTGTCGAAGACAGTACTAAGAAATGCACAAGACCGCTGTTTCCCCTTCACAGTTCATCAAACCAACTGCAGACATCGTTCAGCAATATTCTGGCTGCCGGCGCCTGTCACTGCCTGCACCGTCCACACCGTCGGCAATCCTGAGGTAAATGATTTTCTCAACTGTCGTTTGAAGTTTGGACCAGTTGCTGACGCCCTGACTCTCACAGGATATCAGAATACGACATTTGGTGGTGCAGGCCTTATAGTATATACCTTATACATAGTAGTCTATCATAGTGCTCTGTAAGTTCTGTATATACTCGAATAGCAACACATTCTGCATCTTCTTTCTGTCTTGATCTGACTGAGTAAGCTATAAGTATCATTGAGTGTATGAACAAGCCCTCTACAATTTGATTGAGTCCTATCCCTGCACATCAGACTGACCTTATCTAATCACAGCGCGTCAATCCACCTCCATCTGATCATTGCGCGTCAATCTGACTTCCTCTGACCAGCGCACGTCAATCCAACTTCTTCTGTTCATTGCAAGTCAGACTGGAGCCATCTACTCATTCCACCTTATTATGGTATGTCTGTGTTCAGCTGTTGATTGGGGTAAATTATTCTAATACAATGTGACAGGTATGCTACAGTCTTACGGCTCAATTCCATATGATATCTAACTGAATTGAACTGTCCCAAATAGGACTTGCGATTCAGATACTGACCAGGCTCGTCAGTCTGACAGGCCTTGATCCCAACTGACGGGGCTGGTCAGTGTCTGGCCAGATCCACATAGGTTTGCTGGTGTGAGGCCAAAAACCTTTGCTGTAATATGTGCAATCATGAGTCTGTAAGTCCAGTAGATCTAAATCATATGATATACTTGCATATGCACAGACTGCTCTGGCAAAATAGATACCACAGTGAGGCTCACATGCGCTCATATAACTTGTGCAACTTCCACACTAGAGTAAGGATCTCAAAGGATGCTGGTCATCTGTTTATGCAACTTACCATGATGAATTTACTATGTAGATATCTGTATCTGGCGGATATCCGGTAGATAGTATCTGTGGATACAGATAAGCACTGGATGCAGGACCGTGGGTTGCAATTTTGGGAGAGTTGAAACTGGCCAGATTGGTCATGTGCTGCTAATTGGGCAGTCACAAATAAGCTACTAATACAACAATGTTGGGCATCCACTGCCACTACAGTAATTGGTAGCTGTAGTGTCTGGGTCAGTGGGCCGCCTGTATAAAAGTGTAGTTGACACTGGTACAGGTACATGGCACTATAGCTCAGTAGTCTAGAGCACGTTGGCAGCAATGAGGAGGTCTGGGGTTCGAATCCCCATAGAGCCACTTTTGGGAAATTGTTAGTCCTTGATCAGACATCTTATCAGATGCCAGTCATCTGAGAATATATCTGTTGAGATCATTACACTGGAGCACCTGTGGTTCCTAAGTCATGTGTGTGGCGCAAAGTCAGATGAGGTTCATATGACATCTGCACAACCTTGCCTGTGCCATATGAAGTGGATTTAACTTGGATAAGCTGCATTCAGTCATGTGATGCCCTCCAGAGGTCCCTGATTAGTATGCAGGTACATCATATGACCAGTACATGCAGTTATATGAGGCTAAAGACCTTGGCTGCAATGTGCACAATTGCGAGCCTGTAAGCCCAGTATATATGAATCATATGATATACTCACATGTGCATGCACCACAGACTGTGAACCACTTATGAGGTTTGTGGGTCTCATGAGGGCCTCATGAGCCACCTGAGGCTCATGGGCTTATCATGTACCTACATGTGTGCTCTGAGTGGACATGTAGGTACTCAAGGTCTGAACTCAGGTGTCCAAGACTCTGTGAGCTCCCACCCCTCATATGTCTTTTGTCACAAGCATTTATAATCAAATGATCTTGCTTCCAATTCAACTTGGCCATGGTTACTGACAGCCTGGATTCAGTATAGTTATGGGTCGTTATTTGGGAATTGGGATACAAAGCACGAATCTCAGCTCCTCCTATGCCTCATCAGTCAAGGCGAGTATTTGAAGTCGAACTGAACAGCACAATTCTGACTTGCGTTCACAACCACTCACTCAAACTCCTCCATTTTTGAACACATTCCTGCCGCTAGTGTATGATTTTTCGATTTGTTTTTGACCCTTCACTCCCTGGGCTCTCCATTGCTATATCGTACTTATCTGGATGTTTGTATCTAATCGCCAGTGAAACAAATAGTATATTGAATATAATATCTACATGTTGAACATATGATTTACTATGTGTGACATCGCAAGGCTAACCCGGGTCAGAGACCCAACTTGTGCTCATATGACACTCAAGCGACCTTGCAGTGCTTGAGAATCAGGCGGCACGGTTTTTGCCTGCAGTGATATTTGTAGCTTCAGTAGCAGCTGAATTGACACTGCCGCTCTTCGGTCTCAAAGATGTGCCCTGTAAATGTCTTTGGAACGCCAGTGCACTTTTTGTGAGCATCTGATATAGTGGTTGTGACTGTGACAATGTCGATACACTAGACATTGTACGGGGTTGAATCATATCGAGGACGCGCCTATGGGACTGGAGGAGCCAATAGGCCAGATGAGAAGAAATCAGAGTAGCCAGTTGTCATTGTGGTTGATGACAATGGGAGTCTGACCTGCTGGATGCTCACCTCCAAATCATGTGATGAAGGCCCGTGCGCCATCAACAAAGATTCATATGAGTGGGAAGAATTGCAGTGGCGCCACTCACCGCACATAAAAATTGCCCAATACCTTGAATTTGGCCCCAAAGTCCACCAAAAAGGTCATTTTCTGGCCTTTTTAGGCTGTCTGGATTTTGTGATGAGCCGGCATGACACCTAGTGCAGAGGACTACAACATGGCTACACTACTACTTACCAGAGAGGAGTTTAGAGAGGTAGAGGTGAGACGTAGAAGCTCAAGCACACACTATATATTCAGGTAGAGAACTACGAGCTTATATACATGAAGATTCAATAGAGTTACCATATAAGGACGACAATAGAATTTCATTTCTGCTCTTCGACATCCCGCAAACAGAGTTGGTCTTCTAAGAGGTGGAAGGCCGCTTGCGAGAGGTAGACCTAATGAAGAAATGAGAACAGTGTTCGACGAGAAGAAAAGGAGAAACAGCACCTGTTGGTTTCCAAGTATGATATCCATGCTCTCCAACCCAAACACTGTCCTCGCCTGCTATACCCTCTCCTATACCCTCTCCTTCTCCGTCTCTTCCATGACCCCAACTTTGGCCATCCCCTCCCCATACCTCTCCCAAAACTCCTGCGGCGTCATGTTCACCTCGAATACGAAACGATAGTTCCCTGACACCGACGGCGCCGGCGTCGCCTGCACCACCACAAAGGAGAGAGACGAAATCGGAATTGAGCTCGTGTTGGTTGCGTTCGAGGAAGTTTTCAGAGGAGTAAGTGACGGGGCCGTTGAAGTGGTGAACGGTGAAGGTTGGGTAACCACTGCGGTCAATGGAGCCGGTTTTGAAGGAGGAGTGGTTGCTGAAATCATCTTTGCAGAGACATTGGTTGTGTTTGTTCAGCCAGACGAAGAGGAGGAAGTAGAGAGATTTGGTGAGTTTGTCTCAGTTGTCAGAGGCACTGTCGGGATCGAGGAAGCCAGTGCACATCTTCTTCTTCACCAACTTGGGCTTGTAGGAAAGGCAGGCTTCGTTTCGGTGGCGATCGACAGTGAACTCGAGGTTGCCGAGATGGAGGATTGCAGCAAGGAGCTGGCAGGTTCGTGCTACGTGACGTTTGGAGAACCCAATCGTCTTGAGCGCAACCTTGAGCTGCTCAAACCGCAGGGAATTGTTGTCCCTTGCAGTACCACCACAAGGCGCAGTAGCACCTGGCCGCTGCCCCAAATACCGATACTGGGTCTTGTCGTCGAGGTGCAGGTGGGCTCTCTCCTCTGCTGAAACGCCAGCGACGAGGTAGAAGAATATGTGGAAGTTGTGTTCAGCGCTCGGGGCACCAGCAACACGATTCTTCTTGAGGTAATATTCGAGGGTCTTTGCACCGGTAAGTCGTTCACGATCCGAGAACTGGAGCTGGGGTTGAAGAGGGTGCAGGCGTTACTGAAGGATTCGAGAACGAAAACGGCTAATGGAACCTGGCTGGCGAGCTTGGAACCTTTCTTCCCGGGATTGGAAACGGAGAGTTCGAGGATCGTCTTGTGTTAGTGGTGGCTGGTGCTGGAATCTAGAGATCTTGAGGCAAGCAGTGCTGCGGCTAGTGAAGTATCTAGTCTGTGAGTGCGACCGTAACGGTTAGGTGCCACTGCACAAAGGCAAGCAGGACCAGCCGCTAATGGTATGGAGCCCACATTCCAGTAACAACAAGAGAACATAGCAGTTGCTGCTACATTGGCAACACCGTCATCCATGGCAGTACCACCACAAGGCGCAGTAGCACCTGGCCGCTGCCCCAGATACCGATACTGGGTCTTGTCGTCAAGGTGAAGGTGGGCTCTCTCCTCCGCCGAAGCCCCAGCAACGAGGTAGTAGAAGATGTGGAAGTTTCGTTCGCCGCTCGGGGCACCAGCAACACGGTTCTTCTTGAGATAGTACTCGAGGCCGGTAAGTCGGCCACGATCCGAGAACTGCAACTCGGAGTACTTTTCGAACCTCGAGGCGTTGGGGTTGAAGGGGGTACGTGCGTTGCCGAAGGATTTGAGGACGAAATCGGCTGCCGGAACTTGGCTGGTGAGTTTGGAACCCTTCTTGCTGGGACTGGAGACGGAGACTTCGAGGATCGTTTTGATAGCGAGGCGTCGGGATTCGGACTTGCCAGAGCCGGTTTTGCCGCTGTGAAAGAAATGGGGTTAGTAAGGTCTAGTAAGGCCGAAAGAGAAGAACAGAATGTGTAGGACGAGGAAAAGCATAACCATCCGGGATTACAATCAGCAATACGGTGGTGGGCATCGTAGACCGCACACGGCCATGAAAGGAAGGGAAAAATGCGAGCAACAACTCACCTGAAGACGATAGCCTGGTCTTGCGTTGTCTTCTTCATATGGTAGTAGGCGTTGTTGGCCAGCTGGAAGGGAAGATGTGCGGCGGCTGGAGTTCCTTGTTCATAGTTGTATTCCGGTACTCTGCAGCATACTTGTGCAGAACTGAATCCGCGTTCGAGGCGGCGTATTTGTGGGGGTTGAATGCGACCAAGCAGCTGGATCCAATGTTAATGTAGATGAGATCGAGTAGGCGACAATCACATCGTCCGAAATATTGAAGAGTTTTGTTGGAGCGTTGACTGCCGATTCACGTTGGCTAGCCAATGCTGAAGAACGAGTCGACTATAATTGTTGTAGAAAAAAACTGTTAGTTCATCATTATCCCTCCCCGCCAAAGGCCAAACAGCAACTCACCTAATTCCCGCATTCTCCCACCAGATCTTGTTCAAATCCTTCCTATAGCGATCTTGACCAAGTAGAAAAGGTATTGAGGAAGGAAAAGCGGAGAGGGGAGCTCTTAAGAGAATGGAGGGAGGGAGGGAAGGGAAATATGTCGGTGGTGGAGGAGAGAAAAACGGATTGGTTGTCGTCGTGACAGCCAGTGACGACCCTACGTGCAGAGCTCACCTCTCCGCCAACAAGGTTCGGCCGCTCCGAATCCTAACACAGCAAGGTACCACAACCGCTTCGCTGCGGCAGGCAAGTCAATTATGAATCTGTGGTGCCGCCGCCAAATGCAAGAAGGACCTGTTCATGTAGACTGCCTGACTGCAGCAACAACGGGCAGCATCTCAGCTGCGCCAGACAATTCTGAAGCAGCCGATCTCTTGTGGCTTGAGATGAGAGGCTGCTAAGTGCGGGAAGAATGTTAGTTCACCAATTAGCAGGAAGAAAAAAACGAAGAAAACGTACCGAGGGACGAAACTGACTTGAAAGTTGATTGGAAACTAGGGGTAAAAAACCGTCAGTTCATCGTCCCCCTCTCCGCAAGTAATAACTCACCCAATTCCCTCATTTTCCCACATCTTGACCGAAACAAATTCTGAAAACGTCCAAGAGATTCTTCGCGTGACTTGGGAGTTGACGTTGAGTAGGGACGAGCTCCCGCGAGCTTGTCCCATTCTTCGGGTAATGAGTTTTTTTCTGCGTAAAAATAGCATGTTTCCCTCCGTGAATGTGGGAAGTTCCCAGCCACTTTTTCGGACAGGAAATCTCAAGTTTCCCTTTTGGAGAAGTATCTGCTCAACAAGGAAATTCCTCGGTGTAAAACAGCTCTTTTTCAGACACCGTGAATATACTGAATTCACACGGAATTTCTCAGATTGTTTTTACGCTCGTTAAATTCGGCCTTGCGGC